AGCTGCAAGAAGGAAAGGAGAAAGGCAGAGGGTTTTGAATCCGTACCAAAAGGAGAGAAAAAGAACTCTATTTGGACACAGAGCAGTCCACGTAAGACCCCAGAGGCTGGAAATAGGGTACAAGTTGGGGAATTATGATGTGTTCCAACCATAAAGTGAAAGAAAGGATGGAAGGAGATGAGGTTGGAGAAAGGGGTCCCGGGCTGCCCTCACATGGAAGCCATGACAAAGCCTCTCTTTCCCACACTCCCTCCTCACTCTCTTTCTCCCTTTCACCAGGTTCACCTATTTGCTTTAAAATAAGCCCTCAATTGAAAATTAAAAACAATTCTTTTTGAGGTTGTTTTATCTTCCCTCTAAACAGCCCTGACTGGTTTGGCTTAGTGGATAGAGTGTTGGCCTGAGGACTGAAGGGTCCCAGGTTCAATTCTGGTCAAGGGCATGGAGAGAGGAGAAGCGGGGAGAGGAGAAGGGGGAAGAGGAGAAGGGAAGAGAGGAGAAGGGGGGAGAAGAGAAGGGAAGAGAGAAGGGGGGAGAGGAGGAGGGAAGAGAGGAGAAGGAAGAGGACAGCCAGCCAAGGTGGGTGCCAGCAGGGGCTCCTTGATTGCCCCGCTAGTTGGCCTGACAATTGGTCCTGATCGTACGCCAGGCCTAGGGACCCTACCCATGCACAAATTTCATGCATCGGACCTCTAGTATATAAGTTCTACAGTTAATATCGCTCCTCCTTGCCTTCCCTCTCTAATTCATCAGTCTGTCCTATGCTTCTATGTCTCTGGATCTATTTTGTTCATCAGTTTATTTTGTTCATTAGATTCCACATATTAGTGAGATCATGTGATACTTATCTTTCTCTGACTGGCTTATTTTGCTTAGCATAATACTCTCCAGGTCCATCCATGCTGTTGAAAATGGTTGAGTTCCTTCTTTTTTTTTTTTTTTTTTTTTTTTTTTTTTTTTTTACAGCTGCATAGTATTCCATAGTGTAAATGTACCACAGCTTTTTTTTATCCACTCATCTGCTTATGGGCTGTTTCCAAATCTTAGCTATCTTAGGTGAGTCCCTTATCAATTCAGTCTCAGATAACTGGACTAACCTTTAAGTGATTGGGTATCCAGAATGAGCACCTATTAAAGTGCTTGCAATTTTCTTCATTTTAATTTAAGTTTCACATTGCCATCAAAACTATCTATTCAAATATTTTAAAGATCCAAACATATCACCTCTCTGCTTGAAACTTTCCAATTTGACCCCTTCTACCTATAAAATAACGTTCACACTTCTTAACATGATATTTAAGGCCCTATATGTTCTAATCTCAATTTACTTTTTCAGATTTGTCTTGCCTCGCCCACGACCAATATTAAATTATGCAATCTAAGTTTTTTTTAAAAAAATCACATAATAAAAAATGCAGTAACTTTCTGATTTTTTTGAATTGCTAACAGTGGGGGAACTGAGAGAATTTGTGTATGGTATGATAAAATAGATGTTACTAAAATATAAATCTATTACTTTTTGAAAATGTATTCTATATATTTCCTTTTGTCAATGATATGGAAATTCTTTTAATAGCAAGAGACAGAAATCTAATGGGAATTAGCTCTGGCAAAAATTAGAAATTATTGGCTTATGGATTCCAAGGAAGAGTTAAAAAAAATTAAGAGATGGGCAGGGCTGCAGTGGGGCTTCAGAACAGCTGCAGGAACTCCACTGCCGCCAAAATTCCTCTTGGCTCCTCTTCGCTTGTCAGCTTTATCTGCTCTCACTGCAGACAGGATTTCCCTACAAAGTAGAAACACGGACACCAACAGAATGTGGGGGCAGTGTCCTTTAACAACTACGTGGCTGACTCTCTTTCTTGACTTCAGTTTAAAAATCCAGAGAAAGCCTCTGATGGTACTGGCTTATGCCAGGTGTCTATCTCTGAACCCACCCAGTATCACTAGGGGAGGGGGATTATGTAAGCACAGAAAAGCTCTGCCTGTAGTCATGTGGATGGTAGCAGGGGAGGGGAATACCAGTTCTTAGGAAAGAGCCTTTAGGGAAGGCAGTATCACTGACATCCATTAAAGTACTTCCTAAGGAATTTTAGTGAAATTAATTCAAAACAGCTGAAAATTGTATAATTAATTGTACTTCACCTGATTGAGAATCAGAATACAAGACTTTTTACTCAAAACAGTTGGTGGTTTCTGTATAAAAAAAGAAATGAGAAAGGACAGGGTATGTTCTGAGAACACTCCAGCTACGATTCCACCTAAGAGTTCTTCCTCGTCTTTTGTAAATAAAAGGTAAAAGTACAGAGGATAAAAATAACCAAGCCAAAGTTAAAAGAATAACAATACAGGGGATATAATAACAGGACAGGTTCTCTCTGCTCCAGAACCAGTATGTCAGGGAAGGGGTTGTGTGCATCTCTAGAACACGAGTGTCCATTCATTCAATGACTATTTAATGAGTTCCCCCTTGTGCTGGGCACTGTGATAGGTGTTGGGGATAGAGCAGTGAACAAGATAGTCATGGTCTTTGACTTCACTAAGTTTATATTCTAACTAGGGAGATAGGCTTTAACTAATTATATAATTACAACCATATTACACAATGTGAACAAGTGTACGTTGCCAGGGGAATTTCTGATGCGGACCCTCACTGAGTCTGGCATATTAGGGAAGTTGTCCTTGAGGAAGTGACATTTGAGCTGAGCTCTGAAGGAAAAGCAGGGGTGTAGGGGCTAGGGTTAGGTTGAGGGCAGGAAAAACAAGACTGGTGGTTGCACCAGTGTGGGTGGCCCAGAAAGAGTGAGAAGGCTAAGGAGGTGGGAGAAAGCCTCTTTGTGCATGGCCTTGTAGGCCACATTCACGATTTGGGTCATTACCCAGGAAGCAACACATTTTTGAAAGGTTATTCTCGGTGCAGAATAGAGAAAGGATCAATGTGAGCCAACTATAGGTGTGGAAAGGCCAGTCATCAGGCTACTGAAGCTTGCCTAGAGTCCAGGCAAAGAAATGAGGCTGACTTAGACTAGGATAGAGACAGTGAAGGGCATCCAAATGAAATGTTGGGAGGAGGGCATGATCTGAAGAGACAGTGTGGCTTGACAATATTAATGTGTGCGTGTGTGTGTTCCACAGCAGTGAGAGGGGTCAGATAATCTCGATAAGCAGGGGCCAGATTTTATATAAACAACTCTGCATTGTTTTAAGTTATACTCCCTTTTCCTTCTTTCCCCACACTCTCAAACCAGGCCCAAAGTCAGACCAGAATGTCAAGAATCAGTCATTCTTCTCCTAATCCCCATATACAGAAACTGTGCAAGATTTGCTTGTGGGGCACACCCTAGGCTTTCTTACTCCTTTCCCAAAATCTCATACTCAACTTTAAGCAGAGACAACAGGCAAGGATGTTAGGAAGATATAAGAGGAAACTTGTAATCAGCTATGAAAAAAATAAAAGATGAGCAAATGTGGGCTAACTGCACTGAATTAAAAATATGTATTGGTACAAGTTCCCCAGGCTGTCTTGTTCTGGTGGAGATGAAAGCACTTTTTACAGTGAATGCTAGCTGCAACCATGTGTGAGGCTCTTATCCGCTATTGTAACACCTAGCACTAGGGCTTGGACTTTGTAATCACTTAGTAAATATTTGCTGAACTGAATCATAAACACAACATAGTGTAAGACAGGGCTATCCCAGGATCCTTAGGGCTACATATTCTTGGCACAATTTCGAGTCCCCAACTCCTTTCATTTCATTATAGAAAGGAGAAGGAAAGGGGACAAATAGGGGTTTGGTCACTGCTGTGTAAACAGGAACTTAGTTTGAAGTAAGCTCTGGGTCAGGAGTTCTAGTAGTAACAAGCTGACCTTTTATAAGTAAGGGGATTATATAACATGGGCTTTACATGAGATTTTTAATCTATTGTACTATGAAAAGCAAGGCCCACAACCTTATATAGATTTGTGTGAGGAAAGAAAAGCAAGCCAGCCAATTGTTGAAGGCAATTAGCAATACTTCTCTGCTAATTTCAATCTTAAACTGAGATAGGATCCAATTGTGGGTTCCTTTCTCTGGGCTCCTGACTAGGAAGTGAGTTCCATCACCTGTTTTTATTTATACCAGCAGCTGTTATTGTCTAAAACAGTATTCTTCCTTCACTAAAGTCCTCAATTTCCTGACCACTTTCCTCACAACACAGAAAACCTAGCAGCCTTGCCCAAAACTTCAGTTCACCTAAATTTCAACCTGGGCCTCCTTTCTAGGCTACTTAGTCTTTTATAACCAAAGGAAGAATTATATATTTTAAACCCTCAAGATAAATATTTTATAACTTCTAATGAATTCAATTCTTTCCACATGGCAATGAGGGTAGGTACATCAAAGCTGGCCAGGTATGTCCAGGCATAGTTGCTGTTGCCAACAGTGACCTCTACAGCTACTGGAGCTCACAGGACTTTGGGCTACAAATAATAGGTAACTGAGGCCCAAGCAAGCTTAACATTCCAAAGAGGCAGGAGCAATGGCTGGACCCCCTTACTGTTTCCATCAGGGTAGAAGGGTCAGTGTTAATATCTCATCATAATCTTATTTGAAACACTGATGAGCAAGCTTTTCCTTCATTTTTTTCTGTCTTTTTTTTTTTTTTTTTTTTTTTAAATAGAAACGCATATGAGAGGAGTCAGCGAGCATAATTCTCAAGGAAGGATTTCTAACAAAATATAATGATCAAAAACCAAATTTTCAACTAAGGGCCTGTAGACACTGTCTAATGCTCCTTCCTCATAACAGATATTCAAACTACTGCTGTTTATTATTTTTTCAAACTATAAGATAAAGTTTATTTAGAAAGTTATGCAAAGTAGTAGAAGTGAGCCAGCTGGGCTAGGTTGGCTCAGGAGACAAGTTACAGAGTCAGGAGAAGGGCCCTTGGTGCTTTGGAGAGAGAAAGGCAAAGCTAACATGCTAGGGGGAAGAGGAGGGGAAGGCAAAGGTGCTCACATGGTCCTGAGAGGAAGAGCGCTCAAGCTGCTTCTTGAAAGGGCCCCAAAGGTCTTGCTTCAGAATGACAGACAACAGTCCTCGTCCTCCAGTTCCACTAGCCAGAAAGAACTGTTGAAATCGAAATTTTGGTCACAGGCTATCTTTTCAAGGTATCCTATAACAAGTGTTGACGTAGAAATATGAAAAACTCCCAGTAGAGACGAGCTCGTAGAAACATAAGCACTAAGTTGGCTTTAGCAGGATCACTTTGAAGAATGAGCTTAGGCCTGAGTCTAGTCATACTGGTTTGCCCTGTGCTTTCCCAATAGGGACTCCACGGCAATCCGGTAGATCTTCTGGCTTGTTCAATAGCAACTGCTTTTGACTTGACAACTAATGTAATTATAATAGACCTGAAATTCTAAAGACATATTCACCCTACTTGGATGAAGTTTCCTTGTCAGGGTCAGAAGAGCATAAAGAATCATCTGGACCTGTGTTAATGCAGTATCCATTAGCCACATGTGGCTATATAAATTTAAATTAATTAAAATTAAATAAAAATTAAAAATTTAGTTTGTGAATTTCAAGTGCCATTTTTGAGTGCTCAATAACCACATGAGCTGGTGACAACCCATTAGACTGCAGTTATTGATCATTTCCATTATTATGGAAATTCTGTTGGACAACAGTGATCTGAAAGAATAATTTCTTTGTAAATATATCAATTCCAAATTCAATTTATAACTCATTTAAATTGAGACATCTTCCCTAAATTCTTACTACAAAACCACAAGATAAGCAAACAATCTCCTCTCTGCCCCTTGAAATGGTTCTTTGATATTACGTTTCTTTTAGCGCTTGTCATAATGAGGAAGTCTTTCGGACAGTTGTTACAACTATGTTCAAATGTAGCTCCAAGTGAGGGAGAAGGAGAGAAGAGGTCCTAATTAGTGAAATTTGGAGACATATTAGAGACATAGTAGAGACATAATCTATATTGTTCCAGCATTAGAAAGACTCTTTGACAAATGCTCCTCAGATCTGGCATAAATTTAGGGATATGAAGAAGGTCCTTTTGTCTTGCCTCTAAATATACATTTCTCCACCTACTTACTGACATATAAAATTCCTTCAACAGGAAGAAAAACTTTTGTTAAACAATTACATTTACAAATTTTTTACACATTTTCTTGGGAGAAACACACTAAGCTGTAAACGATTTACCTCTACTACTTTCCAATAGCTTTTCATAAGAAATGGAAGAGAAATTTTAAACTTGCTCAATTCCTAGATCAGGGTGAAACTGGTTGAGGAAAGAAGGATTAGGAGGGAGATTAGAATAGATAGATTTTTAGAATAGAAAGGATAGATTTTTACTGCCCAATTTTGTGACAGGTTGGCCTTTGGTATTTAGGGAATATATAATTGAATTGACAGGATATTCAGCTCTGATTTCCATTTGCTTTGAAAGTGGGATTCTCCAAGACTCTCAACAAATTTGCTCTCAGCATGAGAATGACTAATACTGGTTTAGGGTGGTATTGTGTTTTGTTTTGTTTTTTAATTTTTATCAGAAAGTTTAATTATTGTTCAGAAAAAAATCAGTGAATAACTTTCTCTGAAAAAATATACAGGGTGAAGCAAAGGAGGTTTATAGTTGTTCATATGAAAAATAATACAATAATTAATAAATAATACAAGAATAAACTCTGTGTTTAATGTACTCACAACTGGAAACCTACTTTTGCCCCATCCTGTTTTAACTCTATATAGATTGCAGTTATATTGGGAGTGGCTGATAAGTTAAATTACCCTATTTCCAATTTTGAAAATGACAAAAAGTCAGCTGCCAGTCTGATTATAAAGATGCATGTACCCAAAATGGCTGAGGATAAATACTGTAAGAAAGATAAAAGCTGTAAAGCTCAGGGCATGATATAGGCTCTAAGAGAAAGTCTCAGAAGTACCCGAAGGAGTGACAAGGAACGGTTGGCTACAATATGGAGTTCTTTTCAGTCCTCTTTGTCTTTTGCTCCATGTTTAAAAATGCGCATGCACTCAATGTAATTGAAATTTCTTTTTGTGTCCATAGGTGCTTCTCTGTACAGCTCATCCACTTCCTCGACTATAAACCGATTTCCCATTGTTGTCAGCTGCTCTCTCAGGTAATCCTCCTGAGTAGTGCCAGTTGCTTCTTCATCAAAGCAAGCAAAAGAATTTCTGATGACATCTTCTGGATCTGTGCCATTTAAGTTTTCAACAAACATCAAGACAAACATGGTGAAATTATGAAACCAGGAGCCTCATGCATCATGACATCTAGATACTCTTCAGTTGAATTCTTCTCCAGGGAGGTAAGCATGCCATGTAAATCTTCCTTGTTAACGAAACCATCTCTGTTCTGATCAATCATGCTGAAGGCCTCTTTGAACTCCTGAATCTGTGTCTGGTCAAACATGGCAAACATACTGGATGTTGCATGTGGCGGGGGTGGGGGATGCGTGGCTTCATGGTGGTCTTGATCTTTGCCCTTCTGCTCAACATGGTGACAGTTAGATCCCTGAACAGCTGCGAGAATCCAAGAACTTCAGTGACCCTTCTCACTGCCCTTGCTGCAGCTATTGCCACCCTTCTACACCCAGTGTGGTGGTATCTTAAAGATGCACTTGACTTTGGGTGATACTGTATTTCTGAATTTCAGCCCCTGAGGAACTTTGGGCGGATATTTGGGACAGTCAAGGAAGACCCTCATTTGTGCCACTCCATTTCCCATATTTTCAGCCAAAAGGGCAGACGTTGTCTTAAATGACTGTTGTTCTTTCAGCTGAAACCAGCTCAGTCCCATTTTTATTTTGGGGCATGTTTCTTGGCAACTAAACCAAGAATTTGCAAATTATCTTATTTTAAATCTCAGGAGGAACTTCAGGAATATTATGAAAGTTTGCCTACATTTTATTTCTAAGTTGCAAAACCCACTAGATTAGACTAGAAGTTTCCTGCCTGTCCTCTGTGGTCTCTAGCTCAGGGCAAAATACCTTACAATGTTTATGGAATTGCTAAACTGCACTCCCCTATTTTACAGATGAAAAAAAAAGGAAAATAATTTTCCTAAGGTCAAGGAGTGCGGGACCAGTAAAACAGCACTAGGACGGAATGTTTTATGTATTCTCCCCCCTCCACTCTGCTTATTTGTCACAACTGCTTTCTTTCTTTGAATATTTGGTTCTGGAGGCTGGTACAGCTTCCCACAGTTCAAATGGGTACACTTATTGTTTCTCTTATTTTTGTATTTTTTTATGAATTTCTTGCCTAGCAGTGCTGAAAGCATCAAACATCAAATGACAGTTTTCTTCTTATACTAAGCAAAGACAGTCTAGAGTTAAAGAACAAAAAATACTAGGAAGAAAAACAAAATATTATCAGCACACATCTCCCCAGGTGGTGAAATTCTAAACTATTTTTATTTTCTTCCTTATCTTTTTTGTACATTGTAATTTTCTACAATGTACATTAATTTAAAACATTTTTTCTCATGAATTACTTTATAATAAAAACATTATATATATAAAATCTCCTTCTTACCCTATTTCTACTGTTTAAATTTAAATGAAGTGGAGAAGTAGCTTCCATTAAGCAGGGTGATAGGCACATTAATTATCCTACAGATATTTGGGACACTCAAGGAAGACCCTCATTTGTGCCACTCCATTTCCCACATTTTCAGCTGAAAGGGCAGACTGTTGTCTTAAATGATTGTTGTTCTTTCAGCTGAAACCAGCCCAGTCCCCTTTTTATTTGGGGTCATGTGTCTTAGCTCTTTGCAAATGTGCAGCCTTGCTTTTATGCTCACCAATCTATTGTGTTTCATATATATATATATATATATATATATATATATATATATATATGAATATATATATGAAAAAATATATATGAAAAAATATATGAATATATATATATGTATATATATGAAAACATCTATTTTAAGGAAAAAACCCCGCCTACACAATTCAAGACAATAAGAAAGCACAAAGCATCCCATGAGTTAGACTTTTTACGTCTTTTGGCACATAAAAGGTTATTAAACCAACTCCCTTAATATTGCACCTAAACCTTCTTCCATAACACATAAAGAGGAGGAGTATAATCCTGGGCTTTTGTACACGAGAAATAAAAATAAATTAAAAATAAACCTAAAAAACTTAAAGATGTATGAGTGTGTATGTGTGTGTGTGTGTGTGTGTGTGTGTGAGAGAGAGAGAGAGAGAGAGAGAGAGAGAGAGAGAGAGAGAGAAAAGGGTCTTGGGTATTGCTCCTTATGAGTCAGCCTGGGTATGTTTTAAGATGTTTTTCTGCATCCACCACCACCAAGAAAAAATTCTATGATATACCACAAAAGTTAAACTTTGACTTTCTTCCATAGAGAGGAAATATGGAAAATCTGAATATTTCAATAACTATTTGATGTATTTGTTCTTTTACGCTTATCCCCTCTTCTGAACCCCAACTACCTTCACCATACCAGTTCTCCAAATGCTAATCAAAATAAAAAATCCAAAAACGACATCTGCTTTGCTACTTTTCAGCTATGCTCAGAAATTAGCAATTCAGTGCCTAAGAAGCTGTGTCAATTTGCTCATTGACATTTTTCTGTTTAACAGATGGGTAATATATATATAGTAAAAATATACATTTTCCCCAGGGGATTTCATTTATGGTACTAAAAAAAATGAAGCAATAAACATTTTACCCCTAAGATGGATCTCATGCAAAATAGTGGCTAACCACTGAGCAAGGTTATTTCCTTGCTCATTTTTTAAATTTTATTTTTTTGGCCATTAAAATTGCCTTCTTTGCATCTCCTTCTTGAGGGGCCATGTAAGGCCAGATCTATCAAAACATGATTATCCAGTTCAGTTAATGATTTCAATGACTTCTTATGGAAAAATCCCTCTGAAGATTGCCTCTTAGTAACTTTAATAAAGGTAGTTTCAGGAGGTGAAAGGAAGGCAGTGAAGGTGGCCTTTCTCTTCTCATCCTCCCTACTTCTCACTTCCCTTTGTCCCTTTCTCTCCATCTGCTCTGTCTCCCTTTTTCCTCCTCATCTTTTCTCTCTCTCCCTTCTCTTTTTCTTTTTACCACCGTTTCTCCTATCTCTGTCTCTGCCTGTTATTGAACTTAGTGATG